CCGCCGCCCGTGCGCGCCCCCGCCCGGCCCCGCCCCCGCGCGCGCGCCCGCCCCCTGCTTGTTTGTGTTTTCTACCCCAGCGACCGGGCCGCTGTCGGCGCCGCGATTGGCTGGTTCCTGCCCGCCGCCGCAGCCAATCGGCAGGCGCGGATGGCGGCGGGCGGGGTCTGGAGCGGGTTCGGATCTGTGGGAAGGCCGAGACCATCTTGGGCGGGCCGGCGGGGGGAGCGGGAAGGAGCCATTGGCGCGGGAGGGGGAGGAGGGGGCGCCGCACACGCACCTGCCCATGGCCTCCATTTGCTCCGTGTGACACGGCCCGGACCGCCCACGGCCCGCACCGGGCGGTCACAGCCCGAATCCTTCCGCTTAGGGGGAGCATTGGCACCGCTGGGCAACACCTGTGACAGGGTTTGGGTCACGTGTGAAGGGACGGACCCCTGGACGGGGAAGGACAGCTCCTCACATCCCGCCTGGGGACGCCGAGTGTTTGCATCGGGGCAAGCCTGGACAGCTGTACCCGGATCCCCCTCAGCGAGCTGTCTGCCCCCTTTCATTAGAAATCAAGGTTTTTTTCCTTTTCTGAACTAAAGTCATCAGAAAAATAACGTATTATCTCTTTTTTGTGCGTGTTTCTCTCGCCTAACAAGGGGATTTCAGACCTTTTGCTGCTCCTCCACACATGACCCCTCTACCATTTCTTCAGCACTGGGACAGGTTTTGGGCTAGGGACTGGGAAACACCACAGGCTTGGCAGGCAGGATTCCTACTGCTCAGGCAATCGATGGGAAAAGGTGCTGCATCCACCTTCTCCACTGCTGGAACTCTGAACACAGTGCAGGTGTAAGATGGACAGCCAAACCCTGTGTGTCCATCCAACAGCCTTCCAAACTTTCTACCTTATTTTAGTTTACATTTACCCTGTTTATTCCATGCAAACGGCCTGAGGCCAGACACTTAATTAGAGATGACAGTCATTGTCGTGTTTTGCTTCCATTCATGGTCTCTCCTAAAAACTCAGCTAACCCTTTGTTTTCTCTCCCTAATTTGTCACTCCTGAGAGCCCAAGCAACAGCAGACCAGCTCAATGAGAGAAGCAAACACAGATCACTTCTGCTCTGGTACTTCTGTGTTACAGGATTTTTCAGCTGCCAGTTAGAGAAACTTCCTCAGTTAACAGATTATGACTTGATTTTCGTAGTATTTTTATATATTTTTCCAGTATAATTCTACTCCAAATCTGTGTACTTCTGACTGAAATAAGAGCCAAAGTTCCCTTGTGTAAGAGCTTCTGAATTCATTTACTGGCCCAGCTCTGCATGAATCATCAAAACTGGGTTTAAGAATTAAAACAACAATTATCTGTTAAAAGAATGTGCAGCACGATTGCATATTTTTATGATATATACTTTCCCCATCAGACAAATGACAGAAAGAAAACCTTTCTTGCTCATGAAGACACTAGATTCCAGACTTTTTTAAGTCAGAACAGTCCAACGTGCTCACACAAGACTTTTTTTCACGTACAACCTAGAGGCAGACGTTTCCCCATCAATCAAAAACCAATTCCTAGTTTACTCTTTGTACCTCCACTGACTACCGCCTACCAACCAAACCACTACAATGTCACAACCGAGATTTGGAAAATAAATTCCAGCTATTAACATAGATCATGGAATTCAGCTTCCCCTGCAAGGCAGAAAGGGGCTTTAAAGAGATTTTTCAGTAAAGAGGTGGCAGAGAATCTGAAACAGTAACCAGGACCTGCACAAGGGAAGATGCCACAAAGTACCACATCATGCCAACTACACATTTTAAAGAATCGTGAAAAATTGCTAGAAGATTTTCTGGTGACATTTAGGACTGGATCACTTCCAAGAGGCCTAAAAGCTGGGTCAGTAGTCAAAAGAAGATGAAAAACCCCAAACCATCCAGCACACCTCCAGACAAGAAAATGGTGTGTTTTTTCTTTCTTCTCCTGAATGTGTCTATTAGCAGCTGAGTTATCAATCACTGAAAATCTCCACTAGATTTGACTGTGCATATTTTCTGATTTCTAAAGCACTGTGACCTGTAAAAGAGCTGATGTGCATGAAAGATCATTTGTATTTTTCCATTGTATCAACCAGTGTACTAAAAGATATCGCCTCTTTTTGCCTTTCTAACCTCAAAACTGCCTGCAATAATTAAAAAACAGCTGATCACATGCCAGGCTCTGATCTGTGGAGACCTGCTTGCTCCCTGTTGCCCTCCCTCCCCCAGCCATACTAAAAGCAAAAATACTACCAAAATCACCATTCAAACAAAAGAGCAGAATTCCTCCTCCCCTAGGAAAAAAACCCTCTCTCGACCGTTTCTGGTGGATTTGCAGCTCGAGGCAACCTGTGTGGGCTGCTCAGCCCAGCGCCCGCTGCCCCGCACCTGCATCCCGGGTTACCTGTGCCGACCCGAGCCAAGCGGGACCCGCGAGGAGCTGCCAGGCCCCTCCTGCGCTTCCCCCCCGAGCTCCGCCGATCACCTGGAGCAAAACGCTTGCACGGAGGCGAGCAGGTCACTTTCTAGCAGCCTTCCTTCCTTAGAGCCTGCTGGGTTGTTTTCAAACTCTCCCCTCCCTTTCTCACATGCTGGCCAAGCCCTCCCGTAACACCCAGGGGAGGAATCCATTGGCTGAAGTTCCCCAAAACGCGTGGAGCAGCCCTTCCCCCCGTCCGATGTGTAGTGCACAATAGACACGGCGTGTCTCCAGGCTGCCCTGGGCAGTCTGCTGCCGGCCTTTGCTTTTCATCAAGGTTTATCGGAGCTGTCGCTGGGGTGACTCACGTAGGTCTTCCGACCTCCCGTATCAGAGCAGTGAAAAACAGACAGAGGCTGCCTTGGGTTAGAAACATCTAGTATTTTCCCTGTGCTCCCCACAGTGGATTTTTCAAAGTTTTACTTTCTGTTTTAAGTATTTTCGATAGGCAGCATCTGTGCTCCTGACACCTCAGCAGTGCTGTTTGATTACAGTCGAGTCTGTTACTGTGTAACTTGGAATATAAATTTTCACACATAATGCAGACAGCAAAAACGTATCATATCTGTTAAATCAGTCTGCTCTGTTCAGTTGCCTGTCTCTTGGCCTTCTGCTTTCTTTTCCTTCAAACTACTTTTATTTTTGCATCTTCTACAAAGGTGCCTTCATAAAATGAACTGCAAGCACAGCAATCCCATTCCTCATCAGGCAGCGTCAGCTCCAGTTTGAAAGGGTACTAAAACACGCCTTCACTTTTTTTGAAGCTCAGTAATTAGAGTTGCTTTTGAACACCGTCGTGCAGCTCCGTCAGTGAGCTGGGAGCCGGGCTGCGCTGCAGACCTGTGTGAGCAGCGCCTGTCGAGGCTGGGCACCCTTGGGAGGTGGAGGGGGATCACACTGCATTTGCCTGAGCGTGGAAACTGCAGTGTCACCCACTGCCATGGCTTTGGATAAACACTTCCCCAAACCGCTGCCTTCCTGTCGCTATCGTGGCTTTCCAGGATTTGCCCCTCACACTGCACAAGAAGCCTCCCCTGTTCACAGTTCTGAGTACGCCCTGCTGCCAGAAGCATTAGCACTGGGTTTGCGCTGTAAAACTGTTCCAGGCATGTCTCCTCTGTGCTGCCGTTGTCATCTGTTCATTCTTGCCTTAACAAAGGGCAATCACGCATCTGAAAAGACGCTTTACTGGAAAGGGCTGAACTTGTGAAATGTGCAGAAAAATGGGAGTACTTGATTTAAGGGTTCCAGACAGTGAGTTCATTTAAAAGCTAACAACCAGAAACATGAAATACCGCATTTACCTCAGAATAATTGTCCTTTTTTACGGGTTTACTGTGGGAGAAAGTCTTAGGGAGCCATTTATTAAAACAAGGTGTGTTATTGCCTTGTAATTATTATTTGACAAGCTGAGGTCCTGTGATTAATAAATCATGTGCCTGCTTTTTGTGTGTATATAATCACATGCTCTATATTTATATGGACAGAGGGTTACAGAACATTTACCTTTGTGCTTAGGACTGGCAGGAACTTCTGTGCTATCAGCTCTTCTGTCAAAGGCACTGTGTGATATAATCCTTTTCATAAACTTGCCAAGTTCCATCCTCAAAGCAATTTAATATTTTGCATGCACGACTGCAGTGGGGAGGCTATTCCAGAACCACATTGTCAAATGGTTAGTAACGATCTTCTAATCAAAATGTCTGATGCCTCTTTTTGATCATTTATTCTGTACCAGCACTGGCCCTTAGCACCATCAACTCTTCTCTCTTCCCTTACTACAAGTATTTATGCAGAGAAATCCTCCTGCTCTTGGCATTTGCTTTGCAAAATGAAGTAAAATAGCCTCTCCTCAAGCTCACCCCACCTCTTGCTGCAGCCTGGGCTGCACCTCTCCTGCTGCCTTCCAGGACTGCATTTCATGCTTCCTATTTCCACTGTGTTGGCAAGTCAG